CCCCCATGTTACCAGAAGTGTGGTTATCCAGCCACACCCACCTTTTGCTTGTTATTCTGTTTACCTTGTTTGTTGTCCAAACCCAGGGCCTTTTTTCATAGCATGAACCCCTTTGCATGTTAGGCCACACACCCCTAATGTAGCCAATCCTAATGAGTTTCTGCTGTTGGGTGTGGCCTATTATGCTAATGAGTTCCTGCTGGGCGTGGCCAACTTGGGAGCCAGCCGGAACTCCGTTCCTGTGCGTTCCTGCCCCAAAATAGCCCTGGTTAAGACTAACTCTGGTTAATGAAGCAACAACGAAACGTTGTTTAAGATCCCCGGATGACTGACCCTAGTTACCAGTGACTGCCTTCAAACAATCACATCGTTAGCTTATTTCAACTGAGGGTTTTGCCTTATGTCAGGACTGAGCCCTAAGGCCCAGTGAAGTCATGTGAGGTGTTCTGCTTTTGATGCTGCCTTTCCACCCAATCAGGGTCCACAAGGTGGCCAACATAAGAAACATTAAACCACTTAAACACTTAGAAATACAGTTAAAATTATAAAATTAAATTAAAACAGATAAACAAACGAAGACGAAGAAGAGTTGGATCAATACCTCGCCCTTCACTTGGACGCTCAGAGTGGTTTACAATAAGTCTTCCCTTCCTCTCCCCAAAACAGACACCCTGTGAGATAGGCGGGACTGAGAGAGCTCTGAGAGAAACTGCTCTTGAGAAAACAGCTCTGAGAGAAGTTGTGACTGACCCAAGGTCACACCAGCAGCTGCATGTGGAGGAGTGGGGAATCAAACCCGGTTCTCCAGATTAGAGTCCACCACTCTTAACCACTATACATTTTCAACAACAGCCACGAATCTTCATTTCATGCCAGTGACAGGTGACATTTCCCAAGCACATAGTGGGAATTACCACAAGTGTGCTGAAAAACCAGTTTCCTGGTTCTGATCTCTGGGTACGTCTGTATGGTTTTCCTGAGGGGCAAGGGGAATTTTACCAGTCTGCCGCCCTGACTCTCAGATGGGGCCAAGATGTTTGAGGAAACACTCCTTACCTGTCTGCAGGACATTAGCAATGAGTGATGGGGCCTCACTTCACAAAGGATGTGGACAAAATGGAGCGCATGCAGAGGAGAGTGACAAAGATGATTGGGGGCCTGGAGACCAAGCTCTATGAGGAAAGGCTTGGGAATATTCAGTTTGGAAAAGGTTGAGGGGGGACATGATTTCTGTCTTGAAGCTTCCTCTTGTGTGGAAAAAAACAACAACATCTAATTTTCTATGGTGGTACCCATAGCCAGCACATCTCCCATACACGGTACACAGTGACAGCAGCCAGTGACATGTAGTGGACAGAGGGCTGAACTAGGATTTGGAGGACCCAGGTTCAAACTTCTGCTCTGCCACCGAAACTTGCTGGGTAACCTTGGAAGAGTCACTCTCCCTCTCTCAACCTCACAGGGTCATTGCTGTGACGATAAAATGGAGGGGAGGAGAATGAAGTTGTTGTAAACCGCTTTGGATCCCCAGTGGAGAGAAAAGTGGGGTATAAATATCTTTAAAAATTAATGTCATTTCCCTATGCCCTCTGCTAATAAACGACTCTGTCAGCTTTGTGAAATATGAGTTTACTTCTTGGCCGTGCTTTCTTCTTGCCCCTTGCAAGGAGCTTTGATCAATAATCCTAATATGCAGTGAGGAAAAATCCTCCAAGAAGCATCGGTCAAACACTTGCTGTGTTCTTAGCTCCCAAATGATAATGACCTCAATTACTGCTCCGGTCTTCACCCCTTGCTCCTTTGAAGGAGGTCCTACTCAACTAAAATTGAACTCATCTACCATTTTCTGGTTTTCCAGGCTGACTGATTGCAGCCTAATTCCTTTCATTACCGAAACTGACGGGTCCATTACAGTGGGGCCTCAAAGTCTGCACTGGCTCCTAAAGTCAAGGCCGGCAGTGTTCTGCAGTTCTGCAGCCACCGGAGAAATTGATACGGTTCATCACACTGAAGACCTCAGATTTCCTTTTGAACAAACAACAACAAAAAAAGCCCCTTCTCTTGATTGACAGGCTTGGGAGTAGCCTCCAGGGCTTCTGCGAAGAGATCTTTGCCCCTCTGCATGACTCACAGAAGCAGAATATGTGATCCAACTTTCATAAATGTCTGCGGATGAGTGCACGCAGTTGGCTTTGTTCCGTTTTGCATTTTGTGCAGCGCCTGTAGCCATTTGGACACGTTTCAAAGAGTTGATCACAGGCTATAATGCCAAACTGTGTCTTCCTCTATATTCCACTGTGATCTCCAAGGCACCCGGCAAACGTCTCTTTGACGCCAGCAGTTCGTGAAGTTTTTGCACTGTCAGGCAGCATAAAGAGAAGGTTCCCAAAACTGCCTCTGCAAATGTCTGGTTTTAGAGGGCAGTGTCTGAGATGGGCATAGTTTGGGAGGGATGTGACATCACTTCTGTGTGATGCTCACGGCTGCCTCCCCTAAAATGATGCTCTAGGAATTTCCCCTAGTCTCTATCATTTTTACCACAGAGATTAGGGAAATTCCTAGATCGTCACTATGCAGAGGCCATTTTTCCCCACTTCCACTCTTTCAATTCCTCAGGAGCAGGAAAGTGGCTGGGGACAGGTAATTCCCTGGGCAGGTAAATGGAAGGCCTACCTAAGGAGCATCCATTCGAGGATCAGGTACTAGGTATAAGTGAAAGACTTTTGCCTGTGATCTCAGAGAACTGCTGCCAGTCAAAACAGACAGTACGGAGCTGACCTTAATAGACCAATGGTCTCGCTTAGTATAAGGCAGATTCACGTATTCATTGGTCTGTCTAGTTCACTGTTACCCATTCTGACTGCCAGACAGAAGAAGGGTCTTCTCAGATCACCTGAGATCCTCCAAATGGAAATACCAGGGACTGAACCTAGGACCTTACACACAGAGTGGATGCTCTGCCATTGACTAAAAATCTGAACATCTGAAGCTGCTGGCTCAGACTATCTGTCTACCTACAGTATTTTCCATTCTAGCTGGAAGCAGCTCTCCAGAACATCACCCAGGGGTCTTCTCTGGCCTGGCTCCCTCCCTTTTAACCTGGAGGTGCCAGGGCCCGGGGCCAGCCAGCTCTATACAAAGAACCTGGCTTAGTATAAGGCAGATTCATGTATTCATTGGTCTGTCTAGTTCACTGTTACCCATTCTGACTGCCAGACAGAAGAAGGGTCTTCTCAGATCACCTGAGATCCTCCAAATGGAAATACCAGGGACTGAACCTAGGACCTTACACACAGAGTGGATGCTCTGCCATTGACTAAAAATCTGAACATCTGAAGCTGCTGGCTCAGACTATCTGTCTACCTACAGTATTTTCCATTCTAGCTGGAAGCAGCTCTCCAGAACATCACCCAGGGGTCTTCTCTGGCCTGGCTCCCTCCCTTTTAACCTGGAGGTGCCAGGGCCCGGGGCCAGCCAGCTCTATACAAAGAACCTGCTCTACCACACTGACCTACAACTTCTCTCTTGTTGGATGTGGACAATGACTGCTAAGAGGAGTACCTTGGGTTGCAACCTCTCTCCCTCCGTCAGGAATTCCGCACTTCCTTTGGTCACAGCAGCCAACCCGTTCACCAGCCTCCGGCAAGCATTCTGCCCGATACCAAAAGTGTAGCACCTGCAACAGAAAGAGGAAAAAAGAGGCAAAGGGATCAGGTGCACATTGAGCCATGGGAAGTTTCACAAGGCTAGAATTCAGAGCAAAGGAGAATACAATGCTAGCCACTACACATTTACTAGGAAATGTCCCGCTGAAATCAGTAGGATGAGACTTACTTCCTTTAAAAAAAATTATATTAATTAAAAAAAACAAAAAAATAGAGACTTTGTAGTGTATAGCTGGAGCCTGAGTATAAGCTCTCCCTCCTCTGCGAGGACAGATCTGCACGTTCCCCCCACCCCCCAATAGCTAGCAATCCAAAACAGTCCAGTGGAGCCTGAGCGGTGGGTGTTGCCTTCTGACACACTTCCGGTGATGTCAGGGGGTGTTGCATATGCAAATAAGTTATGCCAATTGAGTTATGCTAATGAGCTCCTGCACCTCTTTTTCTACGAAATGACCCCTGGACACTACACATTTACTAGAAAATGTCCCGCTGAAATCAGTAAGATGAGACTTACTTCCTTTAAAAAAATTATATTATTTTTTTTTAAAAAAAACAAAGATTTTGTAGTGTATAGCTGGAGCCTGAGTATCTCTTTTTCCTTGCCTTGTTTCATCTGATGTTGTACAAGCAAAGGAACCAGCACCTAGTACAGCATGCATGCGTATCGCCATTATCCAAATATATATGATGAATTATCTTCCCCAGTATCAAGAGGGGTCAGTGAAAGGAAACATCCAACATTCTAGCTAGGTTTATTGATGGGATTTGGGGTGGGGTCATGTGAGTAATCTAAAAGCATCTTATCTAAGGATGCCAAGAGTCTGTTTATTTTCTGTAGGTGAACTACTTACTTCCAAATAAACATGACCATGAAAACTCATCAGTTATGCAGGATTTGGGTTGCTGTTCCAGAGGCAGAGGGCTAATGTTCATGTGTGGGCCAGTAATTGGACTTTGCCCACCTGTAGCATGCCCACACTATCTCGCAGGGATAATGGTTGAAGGGGCTGCAGTCCCCCTTGGCTGCATAGAGGGGATCTCATAATGCTGATTTATGCATCTGTAACTTCCAGTCTTGACTACTGCAACACATTTTGTGTGGGGCAGCCCTTGACAACAGCTAAGATGCCTTAACTAGAACAACATGTGTCTGCCTTGCAAATACTGAAATATGTAAACATATTTAGCCAATACAATATCAACTGCATTGCCTTCCTGTATGCTTGATGTGAAAGGGGAGGAAAGGGAGAGAAAGAAATTGGCCTTTTTGTGCCCCAGTGTAGCTAGATTCTTGAAGAGGACGTTTGGGATATGGTGAGAGACAAGTTTCCTCGTCCTTCCTTTAGGAATACATTAATTGATTATTAATTAATTAAACTATGTATACCCTGCCCTTCCAGGGCAGTTTACAAATCCAGATTGAAAACATACACATGCCAATAAAACCTCAAATAATGCCTCCTGCAGCCTACACCTCATTAAAACCCTTTGCAAACAAAACGGCCTTGCAGTGCCTCCTAAAACATCTAGAGATGGTGGCCCTCTCACCTCCTTAGGGAGGTTGTGATAAATAAAGTTCTTGTTCTGGTTCATACCAAGCAGGCTCCCTTAAGTGAGGGAACAGTCAGTAGCTGGCAAAGTGAGGGCCACAGTTGGTTCTTGAGACACACGGGAAGTGACATGGACCCTTAGCCTTGACAGGAAGTATGGAGGAGGAAGAGGACGAGGAAGATGAAGAAGAAGTGGAGATTGGATTTATACCCCACCCTTCACTACCCAAAGGAGTCTTGGAGTGGCTTACAATCCTTTTCCCTCCCCCTCCCCACAACAGACACCCTATGAGGTAGGTGGGGCTGAGAGAGCTCTGAGAGAACTGCTCGTGAGAGAACTGCTCTGAGAGAACTGTGACTGACCCAAGGTCACACCAGCAGCTGCATATGGAGGAGTGGGGAATCAAACCCGGTTCTCCCAGATTCGAGTCCACGCTCCTAACCGCTACACCAAACTACACTACACTACACCAAACTGGTACCAACATTGCTTAGCTTTCAAACTCTGACAGCATTGAGCTATCCCATGCCACCCTCCCCCCCAGAGGCTCCTGTACCTGGTAGAAAAGGAGTTATTCCGAACAAGCTCTATGACCTTCCCAGTGTTGCTCACGGCCCCGTCAGTCAGCAAGAAAAGCAGTCGCGGGTGGCCCCGGTGGATGGGCTGCCGGATGATCCATTTCAAAGGGGATAAGACATTGGTCCCACCCATGTCGGCCCTGATTTTCTTGATGCTCTCGCATGCAAGGACTACGTTCTCCTATGGAGAGAGGAGAACAAGCATGAATGATGTGTGGTGTCTGTTAGGGTTGCCAACTCCAGGTTGGGAGATTTCTGGAGATCTGGCAGTGGATCCTGGAGAAAGTGGAGTCTGAGGAGGGGAGAGAGCTCAGTAGGGATGTGATGTCCTCAAAGTCCATCCTCGGAAGCAGCCATGTCCTCCAGGGGAACTGATCCCTGGGGGATCTGTTGTAACTGCAGGGGACCCGTTGTAATTCCAGGAGTACCAGGGTTGCCAACCTCCAGGTGGAGCAGTTACAAACCAGAAGAAAGCCTTGAATGGGTATTTTCGAAGGATATGCCTGAGTTTTGGTTCCAGTGATATCCTGTTATGAGAAAGTGGTCCCTACTTGGAAAGGCCTTGCCAGGCAAAACGTGGGACGACATCGCTAGCGTGCCCGTTGGAAGACTTCCTCAAGACCGCCATCTTTGGGTATCAGTGTCGTGGCTCAGTTGTCTAGTTTCAACTTGGAGCGTGGCTTCTGTTTCTGAAAACTGAAGACAACCGAGCACCTTCAACAGAGCGACTTACGAGCCTCTGATGGACTGTTTTGGGGTTTTTTGCCCTATGATTTGAGAATTTGATTTTTTTACATTGTTGGTATACAAATAGTTTTGGGATTTGTATGTATGAATTGTGTATTTTTATTTATGTATTTATTTATTTTATTTACATTTGATTTATATACCGCTCCTAACCCCGAAGGGTCTCTGAGCGGTTTACATAGGGGTTCCAAATTCAGTTTTAACCTACCTAAGGCCACATAGTACATAGGGGGCGGGGCTTCCTACCAGCACCCAGGCACCAGGGTTAGCCGATCTTGTTGCCTTCTGCCAGCGGCCTCGAGTGTCGAATTCTCCGGTGCCCTGGAGCAGGTCTCCTAGTTGGCGGCTTCCTTCGGCAGGCCATCCTGATGCGGCGTCATGTCGGCTGCAGCTCCAGCTATGTCTAATTGGCTCTGCCGCGCCGACCACGTCATCGCGCCTCTCATGGCTCCGCCTCTTCCGCTGCTCAACGCTGTGCTCGTTGGTCATCAGAGTCGTTCGCACCATTCCGCCGCTCCGCTGATGCCGCCAGTTCTCCCGCTGCATACTCCACAAGGAGGAGGGTGCCCCCTGCCACCTAGGGCAGGTACCCATTTTCTCTACTTGCATTTTAATGCTTTCGAACTGCCGGGTGGACAGGAGCTGGGACTAGGGCCGGGAGCTCACCCCGGCCGCGGTGGGTCTCGAACAGCCATAGTGGCTGTTCGTTGTTGTTAAAGCAGCAAGCATTTTACTGCTTGCGCCACCGCTCCCATACATGTATAATACATGTTACTTTTATACATGTTAATTTTATGTATATGACATAAAATTAATTTGCATAGAATAGCTTGAGTAGTTTAATTATCTTTAGGTAAAAACATTTTTTCACATGCAGTTGTGCTGGTTACCACCTCCAGGTGGAGGCTGGAGAGCTCCTGGAATGAGACCTGGTCTCCAAACTACAAAAATCCATTATTTGTTTATTATTTAATTATTTAAAACACTTGTTGCACTCGTCTTGGAGAAAATGGCTGCTTTGGAAAGTGGACTGCATGGCATTATACCCCACCAAAGCCCCTTCTCTCCTTAAACTCCACTCTCACAGGCTTCACACTCAAATCTTCAGGTATTTCGGAACCCGGAGTTGGCAACTCTATCCAGGCCCTACCTGGTGGTTGGCAAACTTAGCATCAGTCATTCAAGAGGCTGTCCCCTTACTCTGCAACGGTCCACACTCATTATAAGGAGCATATTCTATACTACCCCAACCAGGACCGCCCCCAGCTTATTTTGCACCCTAGGCGAGGATCACTTCTGCCCGCCCCCCCCCCGTGCGCCCACCAATTTTCAAAAATAAATGCATTTTAGGAAGAATGAAAAACACAAATAATCAAGAAACTCCCAGAGTACGGGGCGAGGTGCAGTTTGGCGCCCCTAAGGGCCGTCCCGCTCTAGGCGATTGCCTAGTTCGCCTAGTGAGTGAGCCGGCCCTGGCCCTGACCCCAACAGAGAAACTTGTGTTTTCTGAAGCTGTGTGAGATAATCCCAGAATTCTCCGGCCTTCTGCAAAGGTCATTCTGCCCTCTCATGACGGCAGGCAGATGCATTCTGGGAAAAGAGTGCCGCAAGGCCTACTCTGGGTAAACTCACCAGAATCAATGTTAAGAGTAGACGCGCTTCCTTGAACAGCAGAACCGGCTTTCTCTCTCCTAACGCTCAAGGTCACAGAGGTAGCACTAAATCATATTTCATTACTTTTGCAACTGAACAATTATTTTCTGGCTTTATTCGTCTGAGGGTTTCAAGTCATTATCTTCCCCAGGCACTCAAGAGGAGGTGAATCGGAAATGAGCCTACCCTGCATGTGAATTTCCCACGGGAAGGACCCTTCTGAGTAATGTCAGAATTTCTGCTGTGCTTGCTACAAAGAGTCACTGTGGTATACCAAAGGCAGGACCTGGATCACGGATAGGGTTGCCAGTTCTGGGTAGAGAAATACCTGGAGATTTGGGTGGTAGAGCCTGGGGAAGGTGGGATTTGGAGAGCGGAGAGACCTCAGCAGGGTATAATGCCATACAGTTCAGCAGCAGGGTATAATGCCACACAGTTCAGCAGCCATTTTCTCCAGGGGAACTAATATCTGTTGACTGGAGACCAGATGTAATTCCAGGAGATCTCCGGCCACCACCTGGAGGTTGCCAACCACAATCAGGGAAACTAAATTCCTGAAGGCCCCTCCCAGATATACTCTCTCTGCTTAACCCGACTCACAGGCATGGTTGCCAACATTGGGTTGGGAGACTTGGGGGGTGGAGCTTGAGAAGGGAGGGGTTTGGGAAGGGGAGGGACCTCAGTAGGGGATAATGACATAAAGTTCCCCCTCTGAAGTTGCCATTGTCTCCAGGGGAACTGATCTCTGTAGTCTAGAGGTCAGTCGTAATTCTGGGGAATCTCCAGTCCCCGCCTGGAGGTTGGCTACCTTACCCGCAGGATTAGTATGAGGACCAAACGTCATGATCTATGCATCCTACCCTTAGGAAAGTAGAACATGAGACTGTTGCTCTCTAGAGGACGGACAGAGGAATTCTGGGAAGTGAGGAAGAGGACTCTGCTCTGGCTATTCCCGCTACAACAAGGGCATATGCTTGATTTTAAATAAGTTTGTTCCTCTTGCTCCTTGCTAACATTACGCGATATTCTCTCCCTGGCAACAGCTAGCAGAGGGCAACTATGATTGCCAAGTCTCCATGTGGGGCCTGGAGATCTTCCAGAGTTTACAACTGATCTCCAGACTACAGAGATCAGTTCCCCTTAGGGTTGCCAGGTCTGGGTTGGAAAATACCTGGAGACTTTGGGGGTGGAGCCGGGAGAAGGCGGGGTTTAGGGAGGGGAGGGGCCTCAACATGGTAAGATGCCACAGAGTCCGCCCTTCAAAGCAGCCATTTTCTCCAGGGGAGCTGATCTCTGTCAGCTGGGGGTCAGTTGTAAAAGGGGGAGATCCCCAGGCCCCACCTGGAGGCCCCACCTAGTTCCCCTGGAGAAAATGGCCGCTTTGGAGAGTGGACCGTATGGCATTACATCTTGCTGAGGTCCCTCCCGAGGCTTCACCCCCAAATCTCCAGGAATTCCCCAACCAGGAGTTGGCAACCCTAGGGACAACAAAACCTGCCCCCTGTGTCATTGTGAGGGAGGTGTGTACGTGCACAGTTCTGATGCAGGACTCTTTCTTCGTCTCAGAAGAGAGGGGACCTGTTCCTTCCCTGGTTGTAGCATTCCATGTGATTTTGAAACCCCATACGCTCAATAGTACGTTCTAAACGTTTCAAACACAAGTACAAAATGTAAGGGCTGGAACTGGCTCTCTGTGAGGTCATATCCAGGCTAGATCAAATCTGAATGGCCATGTCCAAATCCATCCTGGAAACCCAGCGATTGGTAGCCTTAATAGGACTCTGAGGGTGCGGCAAGAAGACCGTGCTCCTCTGTTGAATGGACAGAGCAGGCCAGCCTAAAGATTGGTTTCACTGGCAGCTTCCAGGGCCATAGGAGGGCTAACAGCTGACCCCTGGCTTGCCAATGCATTTGTCACGCCACCCCCTCTCTGGCAGTAGTTTGGGGGCTGGGCCTTTCTTCTTCTTTAAACCCCTCCATTCTTAGGTCCTCCTCTTCCAGGGTATTCACAGAACTACTGGGGTATCCACAGCGATTGCTACACTTGTTTGGAATTACAGCTCATCTCCGGACTACAGCGGCGGAAATTGGGCCTCCAAAGCAGGGGTTTACCCGCCCACCGCCCCCACTTGGCAGCCCTACTCTATGGCATTGCATCCCACTGAGGTCCATGTCCTCCCCAAGCTCTACCCCCAAATCTCCGGGAGTTTCCCAAACTGGAGCTGGCAACCCTAACTTCCCACTCCCACCAGTGGCTAGGGAGGACCTGGCAACCCTACCAGGAGGTCTTGGTTCAAGCCCCACAAAAGTCCCCGACAAATGAGAACAGGAATTTAAAACGTCTGTGATTTGTTAAACCAAAGTGACTCTGTGAGCACGGCATCTGCCCGTCTCTTATATGTCACTCTGTGCGTTCCTCCTGAGCAGAAGACCAAATCCACAATAACTAAGCAAACCATCTGTTCGCCTACCGCCGATAGTGTGTCTTTCGCTTGGGGGTGCTCCAGGCCTTGTTTCAGCCAAGGAAAGATAGGCAGCTTAGAAACAGATGCCACAGAATCACAAAAAGACAGTGAAATCCTGGGACAGGAAATCAGACCAGGAGGATGCGTGGCCTTATGTGGATGATGTACAGAATCGCCACACACACAGAGTCAGCTAGCGGCACGTTCATGTGTTTGAGGAAAGAGCTGTACAAAGCAGGTTCAGAAACGACACCCCTCACCTCACAGTAGGCCTGGCTGGAAGGAAACAAGGCCTTAAACGTGGACCCAAATCCGATAATGTTGAACAAGCATGTCGGCATGAGGCTCTTCAATATGACCAACAGGGCATCCTAAAAAGGGGAGAAAGGGGGGGAAAGTCATGACAGAGCAGTGATCCTCAGCTTGATTTCCAGCATGGGAATTGTGGTGCCTGCTGTTGTGTTCCCTGCTGCCTGCCTACTTCTTCCCCTAAAGTAAAAGGCAAATCCCGGTTTTCCTTCACCTCAGCAAGAGGAGCTCCAGAAGATTCTAAGAGGTGTCACCTTTGAGTCTGCAGGGAGGAGCCATTCAGGAATGAACAGCCACCTCAGTCATAGAACACTTGGTATAGAACCTTCCGGCATTGTTTGATTGCCATCATGGCAGCCATTTTGTGGTCCTGTTGGGGAAATGAGGGGTACAGGAACCTTTTCATGCAGTCCCAATTACACTGTGTTCATTTTGGGAGGGAAAGAAGCTGGCTTCCCAATTGCATCAAGAGAGAGAGAAAGACAGTTGTTCTAAACCAAAACTTATTCTACCCATCCATTACCCACCCTTAGATCAGAAAACACCTTGGCAGCATTTCAGTATTCAACATAGAATATTTCAACACAACCCCAATACATAAACAGTGCACTTGAAGTTCCATGAAGGGTATCCTTGGTTGCTCTGCCAAGACCCATAACTGAGGGTGGCTGGGGCCAGAACAACTAGGAACAAAACTAAATCCAGACATTACGTACCCATATAAGATAATGTGTCAGTCAAGTCTGTGATGAGCATTTGACATACATCTGATGTATACAACAAAGTCAGCCCTTTCTATCTCTGGCGTCAGGAAAGTCAAGGAAAGCTGGGTTAAGCTAGGTTGAGTCAAGGTTTACTAAGAGAGTCCCAGGAAGCTAGGTTCAGTTACTCTGTCTATTTAGGCTGCATTTCCTCGGTGGTGTGATCGGAGCCCTGGTCTCCCTACTACTGTGAGATGGCTGAAGCACCTTGGGAGTACAGAAACAATCCCTCTCTGGGATCTGATGAGGGGCAGCAGCAGATCTACCGCCCTGTAAGAGTGCCTCTGTGCCTCCTCAACCTGTAAATACAGCAAATACTACAAAGACCACCATAGACACGCAGTGCTCGTTCCTCCGAAGGGAACCAAGCCAAGTAAGCATCTACCCCCAGAATGTCCCACTGCTCAGGAAAGTGAGGAGCACGTAACAATAATGTCCAAGATATTCCGGACACGGTAGCCATATGAACTCAGAGCAAAAAAAACGACCCAGCTGCAGGAAATTAAAATGCCTGAACTTTCCCCCGTCGTATATATTTTTAATTTAGCCCTTCATTCTGTTTAATCCTCTGCATTGCACAGATAAGATCTCTGCTGGGTTCAGAGACGAACTCAGGGTGCTTTTGCACGGCACATTTCGACTTCGTTTTCCAAGCCCATCGTGCTTGAATTTATAGACCAATTCAGCCTATGCAAAAAGGAGGCTCTGTCCATTGCACCAGGGCCAGTCCCAGCTGGGGGGTGGGATCCTCTAAATATACAGTGATAAGAGGAAGTAGAACCAATATAAATTAGCGTACCCATTTGGTTCACCTACATGTTGGAACTATACTTTTTTCTCCCCCAGGGTTAGAAGCCCCATAGGCAGGGCTATTTTGGGACAGAACGCACAGGAACGGAGTTCCGGCTGGCTCCCAAGTTGGCCACGCCCAGCAGGAACTCATTAGCATAATAGGCCACACCCAACAGCAGAAACTCATTCGGATTGGCTACATTCGGGGTGTGTGGCCTAACATGCAAAGGAGTTCCTGCTACAAAAAAAGGCCCTGGGTTTTGACAACAAACAAGGTAAACAGAATAACAAGCAAAAGGTGGGTATGGCTGGATAACCACACTTCTGGTAACATGTGGGTGCTGCCTAATATGCTAATGAGCTGTGCTGTCAGGGGTGTGGCCCAATATGCTAATGAGTTCCTGCTGTTGGGTGTGGCCTATTATGCTAATGAGTTCCTGCTGGGCTTTTCTACAAAAAGAGCCCTGCCATAGGTTTGCCAGCCCTGGGTTGGGAAATATCTCAGGATTTTGGCGGTGGGGCCCGAGTAGGGCAGGGTTTGGGGAAGGGAGGGATATAATGCTACAGAGTCTAATTTTCTCCAGATGAACTGATCTCTGTCACCTGGCGATCAGTTGCAATAGCAGGGGATCTCCAGCCACCACCTGGAGCTTGGCAACCCTACCTATTGACTTTTAATCAAGTGCCTGGATTATTGGAGCATGAGGAGTCTTTTTTTCAGGGTGGATTTTGTCGCGTGTTCCTATTACTGAGATTTTAATGGGTGTTTTTATTTGAATGGGCACCATCAGGTATTCTTCAAGGAGCTGCAGTGCGCCCAAGAGAGTTTACAAGCCAACAGTTTTTTTATATATATAGTGCCACAACAAGCTAAAAATATTAAAAACAAACTCAACCTTAGTTGTGCGACAATAAAAGCAGCATTATACATATATAATATGAAGAACTATTAAGGTCTTGAAGGGCTGTCATATGGTATGGAGTTGTTTTCTGTTGCCCCAGAACCATCGGGTTGAAATTAAATCAAGAGTTTTGGGCTAAACGTTAGGAAGTACTCTGTCACCTGGCGATCAGTTGCAATAGCAGGGGATCTCCAGCCACCACCTGGAGCTTGGCAACCCTACCTATTGACTTTTAATCAAGTGCCTGGATTATTGGAGCATGAGGAGTCTTTTTTTCAGGGTGGATTTTGTCGCGTGTTCCTATTACTGAGATTTTAATGGGTGTTTTTATTTGAATGGGCACCATCAGGTATTCTTCAAGGAGCTGCAGTGCGCCCAAGAGAGTTTACAAGCCAACAGTTTTTTTATATATATAGTGCCACAACAAGCTAAAAATATTAAAAACAAACTCAACCTTAGTTGTGCGACAATAAAAGCAGCATTATACATATATAATATGAAGAACTATTAAGGTCTTGAAGGGCTGTCATATGGTATGGAGTTGTTTTCTGTTGCCCCAGAACCATCGGGTTGAAATTAAATCAAGAGTTTTGGGCTAAACGTTAGGAAGTACTTCCTAACAATTAGAGGGGTTCCTCAGTGGAACAGGCTTCCTCGGGAGGTGGTGGGCTCTCTTTCTTTGGAGGTTTTCAAACAGAGGCTTAGATGGCCATTTGACAGCACTGCTGATTCTGTGAACGTAGGAAGGTCATGAGAAGGGAGGGCGGGAAGGGTTTTGTGGCCCTTTCTTACACGCCCAGGGTGTGGCCCTTTCTTACATGCCCAGGGAAATGCTGAGCGCCACTTTGGGGGTCAGGAAGCTATTGTTCTCCAGGCCAATTTGGCCAGGGATCCTGGAGGGTTGGGGGTTTTTTTTGCCCTCTTCTGGGCATAGAGCAGGGGATTGGACTAGATGATCCTGGAGGTCCCTTCCAACTCTATGATTCTATGATGTGTATAATACAGCATAAACTACTTATATCAACCGCAAAACAATGTTATTTTTAGCCAGACCTCTTTGCTACATGACATTGCTGTATTCCCTGATGGTTTTCGAAACAGTGAATGGGAAATCAAGTAGCTCAAGACACTGGAAGAGCGATTAATGGGAAAACCCTTGAGTTCTCTCATCCAAACAACAAGCAAGCTTGACTTTATTCAGCTTAGAAAAGCTATTAAGAATGCATCACAGCCCAAGGAGCATATTAATTAAAAGATGTGACACTCATTCTTAGGCGACTAGACCACCATTTCTGAAGGATAACTTCAAGAGGTACTTCAGCTGAATGAATGACACGGAAGAGGCTGAAGGCAGGTTTTTGAAGGTTTTTAAATTGGTAGGCAGCCTCTTTGTAGACGGGAAACAGCAGCAACAGGCTGTTTAGGCTGGGCAGCATGCAAAGAGAGGAAACCTGCTGCTAAATAGGCATCAGGAATGTCCCCTTACTCTTGCAAATATTTCTGCCTTCCTGGACTTTGGCACTGCAGATTTAGAACACTTTCCTCCAGAAGAGAATATTCAGGGTTTTTTCCCTCTGCAATTTTGTTCCAGTTTTGTAATTATCGCTGGACGTCACCACTGCATGATTACTGCACTTCTCTATTGCATGAGACAGTTTGGTGTAGTAGTTAGGACCGTGGACTCTAATTTGGGAGAGTCGGGTTTGATTTCCCCACTCCTCCAAATGCAGCTGCTGGTGTGACCTTGGGTCAGTTACAAGGTCTTTCAGAGTTGTTCTCTTAGGAGCAGTCCTCAAAAGAGCTCTCTCAGCCCCACCTAACTCACAGGGTGTCTGTTGTGGGTGAGGTGGAAGGGATTGTAAACTGCTCTGAGACTCCTTTACGTAGTAAAGGGTGGGGTATAAATCCAATCTCCTCCTCCTCCTCCGTTTCTTCTTCTTCTGCACAAGACTTGGACAACTGACTCAGCTTTCCAGGACAGCCCCCTCAGTGGGCACACCCTGCCCTCCTCTACCACCTCTACTCTCGCCATCCCCTCATCCTCCTACCTTTTCCCCATTCTGAGTTACTGGCAAGTGTGCATTAGGATGCCCTGGCCTGGATAGCCCAAGCTAGCCCGATCTCATCATATCTCAGAAGCTAAGCAAGGTCAGCCCTGTTTAGTACTTGGATAGGAAACCACCAAGGATGCTACACAGAGGCAGGCATGACAAACTGCCTCTGAACATCTCTTGCCTTGAAAATTCTATGGGGTCGCCATAAGTCAGTCGTGACTTGACAAAAAAAAGATGGTAGGGTGGCGTCACATCCAGTGAGGTCCTATACTGCCATGCCAGCACCAGTCACCATCGTTCATCATTGATGCTCACGATCTCAAGAGCAACCTTGAGAGGTCCCTGCAACCCAGAGATTGCGAGAACAAGCCAGGAAATTTGCGATGTGCCGGACAGGATCTGCAAGGTATTTGTTCTGACTCTTAGCTTTTGTCCCGTTCTTATCACTGAGTAAATACTGCACCTCCCAGATGAGGGGGGAAACGGTTTTCATAGGCTTTATATGTCAAAGTTGCCATTCATCCCTGAGTTAATTTATCTGAAAGATCTTGTTTGTCCAGAAGGAAATCAGAAAAGGGGGAAAGCAAATAATATAACGGTAAATAGGATTTATTTGAAACTGAGCTGGGATCCAAGAACAGGAGAATGTTTTCACTGTTGAGTCTTCTGAATGTGAATTTTAAAAAAGACTCAAATGATGTAAGACGTGCTGAAGACTTTTTCATTGAAAAGCGGGGGATAAATCTAACTAAAAGCAGCGTTGTGGTGATCTTAGAGAACAGATAAAATAGTTGGAGGACCCACAAGACTTGGAGTGGGTGGAAATCCCATTGTTCTCCCACTGGTTTGACACCCCTGCATCACTAGTTACCTCTGCAGCTCATGCGGCAGGGGAACAGTCATTTCTGTTCCTTCTCCCCCGCTCTCTCTTGTCCACTTGCCACAGGGTCCTCGTAGAGGTTTACTGTCTGCACAAACACAGATAATGCTCCTCTCTTAGGGTTTATACCCCTTCCTTCATTTTGGAGGATTTTTCTGCAAACCTGGTGGTTCCCCCAAGTTTGCAGAAAGACCCTCTTTTTCTTTTCATATCCCCAATCCCCCAATTTAAGTATCTGCAGATGGGACCATGCTGAGAATTAGCTATTTAGTCGTTAAAGGTGTCTACACCTTCCCGCTGAGCAGTGGGAGGTATTTTGCTTCCTTACAACAATTCAAACAAAGCTAGCCCAAGGAAGTCTGCTTTTCCAAGGTCTGAGAGGTACTAGCAGCACAGCAGAGGTCACTGGAGTATAAATCTGAAAGTCATCACCAGAAGACAGGTTTTCAAATTGAGAAGGATGCGGCTGAGCCAAAACTACTCACACCTTTTGAAGAACACTTCAAAAAAACACAACACCAGCTCTCTTTTCTGACAGTTTTACAGCTCTGCTCCCAAATTGTTTCGGTGGTACTCCCTGACAATTGACTTCCTATGCCCGCAGTGACATCATTAGACAGCCACACTGAATTGGTTATGTAACGTTGGGGGGTGGGGAGAGGAATAGCCACATAATGCTAATGTGTGTTGGAAAATATTTCTACTCGACCAAAATTGCTTTTAGTGACTGACATGAAAACCAGAACTGAAGAATACTGAACATAAGCCTCCACAAGACTGAAGGGCTTCCAACACTGCTGTACGATTAAGTTGGGTCAACTTGGTAATATTTTCCTGGGCAACAGTTAGTTAAATTCTTCTTTCCCCAAAAAGAAAGAAAAGAGGACAAACCCCTTCCCAGATAGTTCATGGTGTGAGCCCAGTTACTGAAAAGGCCTTATTCATCTGGTACCTGTTTCACATCTATGGTTTAGCTTGGAGAAACGGTGACTGAGGGGTGACATGATTGAGGTTTATAAGATTATGCATGGGATAGAACAGGTAGAGAAAGAAGTACTTTTCTCCCTTTCTCACAATACAAGAACTCGTGGGCACTCCATGAAATTGCTGAGCGGTCGGGTTAGAACGGATAAAAGGAAGTCCTTCTTCACCCAAAGAGTGATTAACACATGGAATTCACTGCCACAGGAGGCGGTGGCGGCTACAAGCATGGATGGTTTCAAGAGGGAATTAGATAAGCATATGGAGCAGAGGTCCATCAGTGGCTATTAGCCACAAGGTATAGATAGGGGCTCTGGGGCAAGTGATGCTCTGTCTTCTTGGTGCTGGGGGGGGGTCAACAGTGGGAGGGCTTCTAGTGTCCTGGCCCCACTGGTGGACCTCCTGATGGCACCTGGTATTTTTGGCCACTGTGTGACAGAGTGTTGGACTGGATGGGCCTTTGGCCTGATCCAACATTGGCGTCTCTTGTTCCTATGTTGCCAGTCTCCATGAGGGACCTGGAGATCTCCTGGAGTTACAATTGATCTCCAAATGGTAGAGATCAGTTTCCCTGGGGAAATTGGATGCTTGGGAGGGTGGCATTATGCCGTGCTGAGGTCCCTTCCCTCACCCCGCCTTCCCCAAGCTCTACTCCCAAATCTCCAGGAATCTTCCAGCCCTTAGTTGGCAACCCTACCAGGGCTTTGGATGAAGAATAGTAGTTTCATCCTGGGGGACGTGGCCAGTCCCGAGGATATCCTAATCCCAGACCGTTTAGGCATATTTATTTACTTAGATACTTTTACTTCAGTTTTTCCCACCAATGGGAACACAAAATGGCTTTCAGTGTCATTATCCTCGCTTCCATTTTATCCTCACAACAATGAACCTGTCAGGTAAATGAGGCCAAGAGAGTCAGACTTGCCCAAGTTCACATAGCAAGCTTCCATTGGCGGAGTGGCCCTGACCTGGAGAGCCAGGTTAGCCTGCTCTCGTCAGATCTCGGAAGCTAAGCAGGGCTGGCCCTGGCTAGTATTTGGATGCAGGGGTCATTTCGTAGAAAAAGAGCTAGGGGAACTCATTAGCATAACTCATTAGCATATGCCACACCCCCTGACATCACCGGAAGTGTGTCATAAGGCCAGGGAGAAAGCAACTTACCCTCCCTCTGCTCCTGCCTCCTCCTGGCTGAATGAGGGCCGGAAGCGGGGCGGCCGGGAGCGGGGGGCGGGGCTTCGTCATGTGCCCCGCCCCCGTACCTCACCCGGGGGAACTGCGATCCCCCGCGATCCCCCCCGAAATGACCTCTGTTTGGATGGGAGACCTCCAAGGAATACCAGGTTCATGATCAATGCTCCCTCTAAGCTGTGGAATCTTGTGAACAAAATGTCAACTTTGTGAACTACTGGCATTAAAGCTGTGAGCGAGCAATCTGGCTGCTGCATAAACTAGTTTGCTCCAGAGCCCCCCTTCCTGAGCTGAGACAAAAATGTGTGAGCTGGAGGCTAAAAAAACTGTGAGCTAGCTCACACTAACTCAGCTTAGAGGGAACACTGGTCAGGATGTGGAGGCAGACAATGGCAAACCACCTCTGAAACCACCTTTGCCTTACAAACCAATCTAACTCGCCACCTGTGGTACATAACACTAAAAAGAGCTAGAACCTCTGGCTGCCAGACTATCTTAGGCTCTCCTGGCTACATTGCATATTATGCCAAACAATTACAACAACAACAACAACAATAATAGGAAGAGTGAAGTTTTGGTTTCTCAAACACTAGTTTGGCTATAATAGGCAGAGTGTTTTGGTTTCTCAAACACTAGTTTGGCTCTCTAACTGCTATACAATGCATGGAATCCTGCATTTGTCAATGAAATAGCCTCAAACATCAGGAGGAAATGACTACACTGCATATACACAGACACAGCTCCCCGCCACCAAAGCAAGTATCGCTCCAGGCATGGTACCTTGACACGGTTGATGTTCACCCCACTCATACTTCCGCTGCGGTCTACAAGGAAGATGAATTCTCCTTGGGTTTTCCGGAGGTTGGGCTGGATAGTCCTCAAGTCGGGACAGAAGTTCAACATGACGACAGGGTGGTGAGGGATGTCCTTGTGGAGGCGTTTCCTGATGATTTCTGTCTACAGTGAAAGAAACCAGCATGGCTACGATTGCTTTTTTTCTTTGAAGGAAATCTTGAGAATGTTTAATCTCCTAATGGACCGCATTGTACCAACTATGGAATAGGTACAACACAAACTGAGCCAGCACATAATTCACTAAGTGAAGAGGCAGGGGTATTTGGGGTGGGGGGTAGAGGAGAAACACTGCACTGGCACTCTGTGACCATGTGGAGTCCATGTGGATTAGGAGACCTGGGTTGAAATGTCAACTCTGCCATGAAGTTCATTGGGCGACACGTGAGCACACAAAGCTGCCCTATACTGAATCAGATAATTGGTCCACCGAGGTCAGTTTCGTCTACTCAGACTGGCAGCAGCTCTCCAGGGTTTCAGGTAGAAGTCTTTCACATCACCGACCTCCTGGAGACGCTGGGGACTGCATCTGGGACCTTCTGCACACCAAGCAGATGCTTTGGTCCCGTCAATCTCCCTTAGCCCAACTTACTTCACAGGCTTTTTGTGGGGGTAAAATGAAGAGTGCATGCCACCATGAGATCCTCGGAGAAAAGGTGGGATAAAAGTGAAAAATATGTATGCATTTATATTCGGCTACACTTTAATCTACAGGAGCTGCGGTGGCTCAAGTGGTTAAGACGCTGAACTGCAGGCTGTGGAAGGTCGGTAGTTCAGCAGTTCGAGACCCGAGTGTGCCGCATGGCGGAGTGAGCTCCCGTCTCTAGTTCCAGCTCCTGCCAACCTAGCAGTTCGAAAGCAAGAAATTGCAAGTAGATAAATAGGGACCACTTCGGTGGGAAGGTAACAGCGTTCCGTGCACCTTGGTGTTTAGTCATGCCGGCCACATGACCACGGAAACGTCTTCGGACAGCGCTGGCTCTTCGGCTTTGAAACGGAGATGAGCACTGCAACCCTAGAGTCAGATTCGACTGGCTTTCGAGCAAGGGAAACCTTTACCTTTACCTTTACACTTGAATCAAGATGTATCCCCACCGCCACTTCACTCAGAGATTTGTCTTTGGAAGTCCTGGGAAAATGGGCTGAACGGTGAAGAACTCTGGTGCACGCGCATGCCAAATCACAAACTATTTTCAAGGCAAGCAAAAAAACCCCATTTCAGTTGGCTTACTGATAAAAACCTCTGCAACAGACTTTCCACAGAAATCAAATGAAAGAAGACATTGCCCGAAGGCTCACCTTCTTAGAAAACGAGAGAAAGAAAACGGAAAGAAGAGGCAGCTAGAAGGGAAACAGAGAAGATGGTATACTGGCAGGGTTATACTAGGAAAAAACGAAGTTAGAGACTAACACGATAATTAATGGGGAGGGGGGAATCAGGCATCAAGTAGAAGATCAGGAAAGAAGAGCAAGAGGTAAAAAAAATATGAGCTTTCAATAGTTTTGTAAAGCAGGGCAGAGAAGATACCAGCCAAACATCTAAAGAAAATACATTCTATACTTAAGAAGCCACAATAGAATAGGCACATACACCAAAGGAAGCATACTTGGATCTGAAAATGTGCAGTGTAAGTGAGCACAGTTTGAGCAAGGAGGTACTTAGCTCTCTAAAAAAGGCAAAATCGGAATAGTAGTTTGCGATAGACTGGTAGCACAAAATAGGGATTGTGTCCCTGGTTCATTGGGACAGTACGTGGAAACTGTACTGCAACGTAGACAGCAGTTCGGTCCTCACAAGATGGTTTCTATCATCAAATGTGATTTCTTTTTAATCATCGGGAACAGCCCCATGCGGCCGAACTGAGGAATGGATGTGACAACTCCACACTTTTCTGGTTGTTGCTTTTTTTCCTACGCACATTATCCAATTACGGTATAAACTAATAAGATCTCATTAGCTGCCCACTGATTCCTGAGGATGTTTGTCCCACATAATCCTGCTAGCTAATAAGCATTTGCATAGCTTGTCAAAGGCAAGAAATTAATTACCGTTCCCTGCTGACGTTCCTAGGCTTAGCGGTGCTTCGCCAAAAGAGCAACGAGACTGCCGACGCTAGCATGGGAACAAATAAGGTTAACAACTTCAAGGTAATGCCTGGAGCTTTCCCGGAATTCCAGTTTATCTATACACTGCAGGACTTTGGAGGGCCGGCATTTTTGCATGGCCTCTTTTTGTAGCAGGTACTCCTTTGTATATTAAGCGACACACCCCTATGTAGCCAATCCTTCAAGAGTAGCTCCTGTAAGAAGAGCTCTGTAAGCTCTTGGAGGATTGGCTACATTAGGGGTGTGTGGCCTAATATGCAAAGGAGTTTCTGCTACAAAAAGAGCCCTTTTGTCGGCAGCATCACAATCCCACTGAGCACCTTTCCCTCTTTGGGTACCATCCCCAAATCTCTAGGAGTTAGCAATCCTTATCTGAAAGGGTTCCGTCCGCCCATTCCCTGTACCCCTCCAATTAGGCATTATGGGCTTGTTATTAGGCATGGCAACTTGTTGACTCCAAACCAGTCCCACTGACTCTAACAGGCTTGCTTTTGATAACATAGATGTTTGGGAAGGGGTAGAAGAGAAGCAGAGACTGGATTTATACCCCACCCTTCACTACCCGAAGGAGTCTCAGAGCAGTTTACAATCTCCTTTCCCTTCCCCTCCCCACAACAGACACCCTGTGAGGTAGGTGGGGCTGAGAGAGCTCTGAGAAAACTGCTCGTGAGAGAACAGCTCTGAGAGAACTGTGACTGACCCAAGGTCACACCAGCAGCTGCATGTGGAGGAGTGGGGAATCAAACCCAGTTCTACCAGATTAGAGTCCATGCTCCTAACCACTACACCAAATCGGCTCTCTGGTACATTTAAGCCACTTTCCATACCTACTTTTTAAAGTTAAGCACGTAAGATTTTTTTTAAAGCGTACCCTAAAAATGTAACCTGTGAACTGCATAAACATATGCCGGGAGACCATCACTCCCCATATCTCCTTGTGCACCAACTGTGGGCTTGAGGGTGCCACCTACTGGTGGTTTCCCCAGACTCTTTGGAAATCTGCTATGGACATACACAAATGCTGTCAAGTTGCAGCTGACTTTGCGACCCCAGCAAGAGGCTTTCAAGGCAAGTGAGAAGCAGTGGTGGTTTGCTATTGCCTTCCTCTGCTTTCCTCCGCAGAGCCTTCCTTGGTGGTCTCTCATCCAAGTACCTCTCTTGCTTAGCTTCTGAGATTTGACGAGATCGGGCTATACCATGCCATCTTCCCTCCCTAATGTGCCTACAGACCATGCTTTTTCTACAGTAGCTTCCACTGCAAAGGATGTAGGGTAGTGGGGTTCTCTTTAGAAGTTTTTAGGAGTTACTGCACAGATTTTAGCGGGGGTACTACCAACTGCATTTCCTTGGCGTGTGGGGTGAATTGAATTTTTATTATACTTTGTACGTTCTGGAATCGTCAGCCAACTTGAGTCACAAAAGAACAGCGGGGTAAAGATATTTCAAGAAATGAAACAAAAACGATCGAGCAGGTCACACGACACCGGATTGGCCACAAATCCCTGTTGACTGGACACTGGCACACAAACCTGGGTTTGCTGCCAAAGGATGTGTGGAATGGCTCTGTGGGGGTTCTACAAATAGGCACAGCTGTTCTGTAAAGCGCCGCAACCCCTTCAGGGGGACACATTACCCCACTTTCAAAAGAGGTCTCCTCCTCCTGCAGTTCAGAGCTTCTGATATTACCCACTGACAGAAGGCGAAGTCGCACTGTCAAAAACGGGCCCATTGGTTAATTATCTTGCCCCCTGAGATGCCAGCTGAGAAGGAGGCATCCTTGCCCCCTGCTGATCTCTGAAATGCAATTAGCAAAAAAGGCTTGTGGTGTCACATGGCTGGAGTTCTAACTCATTTGCAGTAGACAAGGACTATCAATCTGCCTTCAGACTGGGGAGGGGCTGTGGCTCAGTGGAAGAGCCTCTGCTTTGCATGCAAAAGGTCCCAGGTTCAGTCCCTGGCAACTCCAGTTAAAAGGGATCAAGTAATAGATGATGCAAGAGACCCCGGAGGAGTGAAAGACCTGAATTCCTGACAAGCCGCTGCCAGTCTGAGTAGACAATACTGACCTTGATGGACCAAAGGTCTGATTCAGTATAAGGCAGCTTCACCTGCTTTCCCCTAGGAGCGTGTGTCTGTTAAAATGTCATTGTTTCAAATCTGTTTTCAACCAATTGCTGGACTGCAAGGAAAATCTGTTTTCTGCTGGGATCCAGAGTGTGTCAGAGGATCTCACTGGTGGGCGTAGGTGGTCTTGTCGTTGGGAATAAGAACTGAGTACATGAGACAACAGGGCCTTTCCTTGTTCCAGATTCAACCTGCCGATTCTCCGATTGCCTCAACTGATACCTTTCTCTCTCCTCACCTTTTTCTCAGCGCTGGGGTCCTTCTTTGTCCCTTTAATGAAATCGCTCCGCCCCTTCAGGTGTTGCTCGTACTCGGCGGAGGACATGCCCCCTTCTTCCATCAAGATATGAGGCATGTGAGGCTCTGGAGGGCCAGATGAGCACAAAAACGAGGATTGGGGAAATAAAGCAGACGGTGTGGTTTATGTCTTGAGAGAAACTTTTAACAGTTGCCATGTCAGTCGTCTAGTCTTGTGACACCTAACCAACGTATGCTTTTTGTGAGCCTTAGTATACACACTAAAATCTGCCTTATACAACAGGCAATGCAAATTTGTTGTTATCGAGTGACATAATTTGTGTGAGATACTGCTGAAATGGACTATCGGAAAAACTTCCCCTCAAGAGAACTGGTAGAAATGTAGAGGTGACCTTAGATCAAATCTGAACTTCAGTCAAACCTTTCTCTCATTTCTTAAGAAA